ACACATAATATATAAAATATATATAACTATATAGTTTTGTTTCAAGTACATTTATACACAAGCACATTAATGTATATGTGACATATACTCAACTCGCAATATTGAAGCTTCTTTCAAAAGGGCCATAGGGTATCACGGCTAAACTGTCCTTAGGAGTCAAAACTCTGAACCTTGTCCCTTTTATTTACATGGCACCTTTTGAGAGGCTCTAATAATTCTGGCTGCACAGCAGATGTTTTAAATGCTCTTTGGAGGGTAAGATCTCAAAAAGAAAAGAAATTAGGTCCCCTCCTTTTTAGTCCTCTGGAACAGGGTTTTTAAAACTGGCATTCCTAAGAATCACCTGGATAGCCTTATAAAACAGATGCGAGTTCCACCTCCAATGTGATGCTGATTTCAGCGGTCAGTGGATCAGACTTGGGGTAGCACTCTTCTGCATTAATATACTTTGTACTTAGTGTTCATTCAACACATTATTTCTGTATAGTGACTATAAATATATATAGGCAATGAATAAATTGAACATAGTTTATAAAACAGTGCATTCATTATAGGCAGTGAGGAGTTACTGAAGCCCTTGGCGTGACATATTTATGTTTTAGATAGATCATTTTATTGTAGTATGGCAAAATGGTTAGGAGTAACCATTGAGTAACTGCAAGTACGGGATATTGACCTTGAAATGCATGTGATGTATGTTCAACATTTCTTTAGTTATACCCAACTTTCTAGGGACTTGTTCATTGAACAGCTCTCTGCTAACTACATAAACTTCCTTCACTTTTATGTATTATAGTTAATTTCATCTCAGGACTCTCACAGATTACTCATTCTCTTCAGGATACTTCCCACCTCCATATGTTTTCCTCTTGTTCGTGAGAGGAAAATTATGAATAGTGATATAGTCGTATTAAGGACATGAAGAACTAAGAACATTGAATCCAAAGGTCTTGAAAGGGCACATAATTTCCTTTTATTTTCTATCAGTTTCTTTATTTAAATTCTCTTAGCAAGAAAACATTTTTCAGAATATTTCTGAGTCCTCTAGTAAAATCATTTAAACTCTTCTAAGTTTTGTTTTCCTGATAAGGAAATTTTCCTCATAAGCAGATTGAAGCTAAATGTAACACTTAAATCCAAAATTTTGTGAGAACTAAACTAATCTGTTTTTTATCCAGTTTTGTTCTGCTTCAAATATTGGAGTAGTTAAAATACTGTTTTTACTCTTTGATTTCAAATAAACATTGGTTCTACTGCTTTATGGCACTTGAAATGATAACATTTGTTTTACAACTCTCAGTTATGCTTTTTGCATTTTGGCAACTCCTATCAGCAGGAAGACTAACTCTTTGGAAGATTAATCAATTAACCACATGGGAGCGAGGACTCATATCCCCAGCCCACACCTGAGTGTGCGCCTGTGTGATGAACTTGGATGACCCCCAAAGCTCCTCAGTCAAAACGTGACCAGATCTCCTGCTCTCCCTATCTCCTGCTCACTCTTGTGCCTCCCCCTTTATGTTCTACCTCAGTCTTTATTATCTAATTATTCATAAAAAGAAAGCAAGCTAAATGAATTGGTTAAGTATTCTTGAAACAACTTCACATTAACAGACTACCTGTTCTGAATTATTTTTGGACTCAGATATTGATGTCTGTTTTCCAACACAGTATTGATGGGATAGGCAATCTGCCATGACCATGCCTGTTCACGCCCTGGCAAGGTATGCCAACAATGCAAAGCCCTAGCCGCTCTACCCAGGCCCTTTCTGAGGGTTGTGTTTGCTGAGATCGTGACCTAAACAATGAGCTGGCCACTCACTATAAAGCAGGAAATCTCCCAGCTCACAGTTCCTCTTCTGTAATACAACCCACGTCACTTATGTAAGCACCCATATTGCCTCTGTGGAAATTGTAAGGCCTGGGGAACCTCACAGACTGACATTCTGCCTGTTGCGTTTGCCTTGAGAAATAGTCCTTTGTCTCAAACCCAAGGAGTAGTTTTCTGCCACCATCCATGAAACAGTAATAGGAGGGCTTATTAACTTGCAAGTAGGGTAATATACCAAACTCCACAGACTGAAAAATAATTTCTGACCATCAGGAATGTTGGTAATGAACCATTTCTTAAGAATGATCTGACGACTTAGGAATTTTCTCTCAAGTTGCTGAGACTTTCTGCAAATTTTGATGCACATACACTCAGACAATTACTGCCACCTGGCTGACAACTGTTGTAAAACATCCCAGTTTGAGAGTACATCAAATGGGAAATACATCTTAGAATGGGTGAAATATAGTAGTTGATACAATGGATATTTTTTTGTTTATTCATGATCCTGATAGCAACCTGACTTGGGTATCTAATTATAAGGGTACTTGGTAGAACGAATTCTTAAATCTATCCGTTCATTTTCCACCTTCCTAAAAGGAACCCAATTTCATTTGACTGTCTTCCTTCCCCCTCTGTAGGTGAGAGTAGGTCTTCACAGGTACAAGCCAATCAGGACATCCTGGCCATCCTCACACAGTGTTTGTGTTTCATGAAATCTGACACATTCAGGGCAAGTGACTCAATCTAGGTTAATGAGATGTGAGGGGAGGTGTATTTATTGGAAAGAAACTTCTTCACTCTTCTGATAACTATCAAAAGAGATGTTCTCCCTTTTAGGGTGTTTGTGGCTTACCAGCCTTAAGTCAGTGGTGTGCTGGAGCCCCTGATACTGGGTTCCAAGTGCTGTTAATCTCTTGTAGTCTATGCTAGCTAGAAACATACAGCGAAGGGAATTCTGGAAAATTAATTCAGCCTAGCCAAACTGACACATTACAAAGCCACCACACCACCCATTTGTCGAATCAATGACACTCCCCCTTTATAGAGAAGATAGATACCACCTAGAACAAAGATTGTTTTCAGCTTCAAGTTTCCAGACAAAATTATTTTATTCTTTTAGCGAAACATCTGTGTAAATAGTTCAGCTTTATTCACAGAGACGGGCTCTCTAGATTTCTTGTTATATATGAAACTCAAAGCATTAAAGTCTGAATATGGAGCTTTACTATTGATACAAGCCACAATGTAGGGACAATACAGAGAGTATTCAGAATATATGTAATAGGAGTACTATCCAGGCAAGAAGAGGAAGAAGAAAGCTCCTCTGGCTTGGCTGAAACAAGGAGTCTGTATTATTTCAAGGGAAAATCTGATGGGGATGGGGTTGAAGAGAAAGTTGAAAGCAGAATAGTGTTTCCCAGTAATTAGGATGTTCCTCCATCCCCAATTTGGGATGATCCCAGCAGAATAAATCATGACATGTAATAGGGAAAGGAGTCATTATTCTTGACCTGCTCTCAACTTTTATGTCAAGTTCAAGGGACATAACATTTTCACATGCTGGGGGCATTGGGAAGGAGTTTGAGAGCAAGGGAACCCCACTGTAGAGGCAAAGGAATGGAAAGATGAAGGGTGTTTCTGAGCCTTCGTGGGTACTGTAGCATCATCAAGGAGGAAATTAAGAGGCCCACTAGCTGTACCACATTAGACACCGATGCAGAAGACCTAGCAGCAAACATCAGACATCCTGAAGCAGCAATGGGTAAGCATATAGAAAACGAAATTTGAATACAATCACTGTCTCCGCCATTGCTGTTAAGGCACAAAACCCTTCCTACCACTTCCATGAATCCAAACTGTAGGTTAAGTAGAATGAGAAGAAAATCAGCAACACAGAGCATTTATTTCAAAGAGACTTTATCAAAGAAGAAATGCAAGTGACATTGTTAAGATGATACCAGAATGAGAATGAGGTGGGGTGGCCATCCAGGAAAAACTCAAGGAACAGGTGGTGAAGCGTGTGGACCATTTCATCCTCAGCAAGCTGTGAGCCCATACCATTGTGAGAAGAGCCTGCCAGAAGTCACCCAGTGACCTGGCTGACAGGCCTCAAGCCTGGGAATGAATTTTTCCCATTGGATGGGAAAGGCAATGCGATTCCTTGTGACCGATTATGTGGACATGTGGGAGGACATGGAAATGCTGGTGGATGAAGGGCTGGTGAAAGCTATTAAGAGTCTCCAACTTGACCTCCAAATCGAGAAGATCTTAAACCAGGCTTAAAATATTAAGCCAGTACTTAACCAGATCGAGTAACACCCATACCTCAGTCAGGAGAAGTTAATCCCGTATTGCCACTCCAAAGGTGACTGTTTACAGGCCCCTCGACTCTCCCGACAGGCCCTGGGCCAAGCCTGAGGACCCTTCCTTACTGGAGGATCCCAGGAACAACACAATAGCTGACAAACACAATAAAATCCCAGCCCAGGCTCTGAGCCAGTTCCCCATGCAGAGGAATTTGGTCATGATCCCCAAGTCTGTGACACCCCAATGCATGGCTGAGAACTTTCAAGTCTTTGATTTTGAACTGAGTAGCGAGGACATGACCAACTTACTTAGCTACAACAGGAAGTGGTGTGTCTGTGCCTCTCACAAGAGATCCCTTCAACGAAGAGTTTTGAAGTTGTGAGTGCCCGCTCTTCCCCAAGTGACCTGCTGTCATTTTCTCTGCCTCCTTCTCCCTTTATGTAGTGTACTATGGCCTGTGTCCCTCAGCAGTGGGGCAGTGACCTGCAGATGAACCAGAGAGGACTAGACCAACGTGGTGTTGGGTCCAAAGAGCAGTATCAGTAGATTAGAGGTCTCTTCCAGTTTTCTTTGCCCTTCTTGCCTGGCCGGGGTAAGTCCAACCTTGATACCCTTTTCTTTTTCTTTTTTTTTTTTTTTGATACTCTTTTCTACAAAGTGAAAAAGTGCCACTAACGATTGAGTTTTGGCTGCTTGGAACTGTAATCCTTTTAGCCAGACTTCTTGTCTCAAAGAAAACATACTTTGTGAGCTTGAAGAAAATTAAAAAAAAAGACTTACCGTGCTCCACATTGAGGTGGAGGCTGATGAAGAATTTTCAATTATAGAAAAATATTTTAAACTATATGTTCTTCGTAAAATGGGTGTAAATATGCCATCTTGTCAATTTATCACAAAAGAAACCAACCTGAAGACAAAGGGCAGAGTGAAAAGAATTACAGAAAAATGGAACAAGAGACCTGCCAATGAAAATTGCAAGAAACCTGCTGACCCTGCGTTAATGAGCTCATCAACTTCTTTAATTGTTAAATCTAATTTGTGTGAGGTTCTGTTATTTATGATCTTTATTAGGCTTGAAGAGAAGCAATTTAAATCAGGTAAGTCACCGAATTGGGAATTCAACATAGGATATCTAATATCCAAAGCAGGTCTTTTAATCACTGCACCATGACACAAAGGTGTAGTTTAAATGCCATTTTTTCTGTGGTGGTTGCTGAATCTGAAATCACTGGCTCCTCAAAATATGGTCCAAGGACCAGCAGCATTGGTGTCATCTGTTTCTTGTTAGGAAAGCTGATCTCAAGGGCCTGCCTACCCCAGACCTACTGAATCAGAATCTGCAGTTTAACAAGATTCCCAGGTGATTCATTTATGCATTCAGGTTTGAGAGGTACTGTTTTAATTCTTTTGAGTTTTTACAGCATCCATACTCATTGCTAGTTAAATACTCATCTGTCTCCTCCTCACCAAACCTGTGATAGCCTTGAAGGCAGGAAATACGTATTACTTTTCGTATTCTAACCACTTGTGATAAAGACTACTAATTGTCCATCAAAATCATTCTTTCAGTCTTAATGGGTACATTACTAATCTACATGTCCCAGCCTCACTTGCAGTTAGGTGTGACTAAGTTCTCTCCAATGCAACATGAGCAGAAATATTAGGTCTTAAGACTGTGGGCATTCTCGCTCTCTTTTCCCCTTTCCTTTGGCTGGAATCCACTGTGACCATCTTGATTATGCAATAAGAGGCTGGAGAATGACAGAGCAAGTATCATGAAAGAACCTATTATCTCTGAATGATTGTGTGTGCCAGAGCTACTCACCTTGTAATAATTACACCAAGAGAAATAACTGTCTATGTTCTGCAGGCCATGGATTGATTTTAGGGGCTTTTTGTTAGGCAGCCTAGTCTTACCCTAAATAATTCACTACTCCATCTTATCATAGACCTCAGCTTATAATGATTCCTTCCCCTTGTGGAGAGAGAAAAGTCTCAGACACACAGATAAGCCCTCAGCAGCCATTTCTGTACTATATGATCCTAGCCATAGCTGATTGGTCCAGGAGTGGATCTCTTACCTAAACTGCACCATTTGCATTTTCCCTCTCAGAGATTTGCAATTTTGAACTGAGACAGGAGCTGAGGATAATTGGACCTGAGTGATGTTTATAGCAAAGCTTTAAAGCTGCACTGTGCAATATAGGAACCACGAGCCACATGTGGCTATTTGAATTTCATTAAAATAAAAAATTCATTGTCTTAGTTGCACTAGCTACATTTCAGGTGCTCAATACCATTGGTAGCTAAATGGCTACCATATTGGAAGGAGCAGACATAGAACATTTTCATCATCAAGGAAATTTCTACTGGACATCACTGCTCTCAAGAGAACATCTACAATCTGTCCTGTTTCCAATCTTGCCCAAAGATTGGTTGTTGAAACCATTCCTTTGATTCTGTAGGATACACCAGAATCTCAGCCATAAATTCCCTCTCTTGCTCAAGTTATTCAAATTTAATTTTACTATCTGCTACCAAAAGGACCGCAGATATTATACATCTGGCACTATAACTACGAAACACCAAATCCAATGGGAAATTCTCAGGCTTCTTTTTATTTGACCTTACTTGGATTTTCATATGCTTGACCACTCCTTCCTAGGATTTCATGACACTGCTCTCTTGGTTGTCTCCCATTCCACTCACATTCTCATAAGAAGTGGTCTGCTCTATTAAACTCTTCTTCAATATATATTAAAGAAAGGCAACCTTTAAAAAAGTGCCGGGCAGGCTGAAGGAGAGCATGCTTAGGTTACACATTCTACAATCCTCTCACTGGGCTTCTAAACCATGTATCTAATTGTTCATTAGAGAGTTCCACCTGAAGTCCAAAGGCACCACAAAACACATGTGCTTCAAATTGAACTGTTCCCCATTTAAAAGCTTAGATGTTTCCGACCTCCCCATCTCTCAAATGGGAAAATGCACTCTGCATTCTGCTTTCATGGAATTTACCGCTGCACTGTGACTCTCTTTGAAATATGGACAATATTGTCTTCCCCTTTATACCTAACACAGTGTCTGACACATAATAAGCATTCCATGATTTTTATTTTAGCAAACTGTAGTCACTTCCATAAATTTTTAAAGAATCTGGGACAGTCAACTCCAGAATTACACCACTGGGTCTGAAGGCCATCCAGCAAAATCGGTTATCCCATTACTGTCACATCTTAAGGCGGAGAAATGGGAACACAGACCACTGTGGGAATAAGTTAGAATTTCTCAGTTTCTGAATTTTTCTGCTTGAGTTAGGCTTTTTGTGCTAACTCTAGCAAGATTCATGTAAGGTGTTCCCGACTTGACGTGGACGAGCACCACCTCAGTTCTATAACCTTTGAGATAAATGGTGCGGAGCTGCCAGTATTCCAGCTGCCAGTTATCTCACATGGAAGCAGAGGGATAGGTTTGCGATGCTTGGGGAAGTTCTCCTGCCCTGTAATGTATCCTTCGTTTGCTAAGGTAAGCCAACCTGATAGCCCTGATTCACAGGGCCTGGCGATTTACTCAGCAGAACATACGTATCCTGGCCAAGGGTCGCAAGCCAAAATGCCTTCAAAAACCAGGCCAGGTTTTTCCACGTGTGAAGGGGAGGAGGACGGGTGGGGAAACGAAGAGCATGCCACTGCCTCAGGCTTACAGATTCAAGCTGCGGAAAAATGCTTTTCCAGGCCAAACAGAGCCTTAGAGCTGCTTGTCCCTGCCCCTTGTTCCCAGCCAGCCGGCTGCACCAGGACAGGGCCGAAGGAAGTGAAAACTGTAGTAAATAAGTCACTAGGATTGCGAGGACACACAACGCTTTCCTTCCTGCTTTAAGCTTCCCCCCTGATCTGGGGAGGGCAGTGTGCAACCCTTTCAGGGTCTCTGGCGTCTCCACGGAGGGTGACATCCCGTGACTTACACAGTGGTGGGTTATTAGACGGTCACCTGGAGGCGTCTGAGGAACGCCCAGGTGAGTGGAAACAGAGGGCCCGGCGCCGCCGCGAGGAGGCGGGGAGTGGGCGGCGAGCGCAGGGCGGCCCTAGAGGACGGGGACAGGGACAGGGACGCGGGAGAGAGCCTGGGGAACAGGAGGAGGGAAGGCCCGCGCGAGCTCCCCGCCCGCGCGAGCTCCCCGGCTCGGAGCAGGCGCCCTGGCGGCGCTCGCGCCCCCTGCCCCGCCCTCCGCGGTCGCCAGGGCGCAGGCTCGCATCCCGGCGGCCGGCTGGGCCCGCGGCGCTCGCCCTCCCGCCGCCCGCCACGCCCGCCGCGCGCCCCGCTCCATCGTCGGCCTCGCCGCGCCCTTGCTCGCCCCGGACGGGCCTGTCCCTGGCGGAGGTAACTGCCCGCCGATCGCCGGGGCCCCTCGCGTCCGCGGCCCCCTCCCCAAGCCGCGGGGCCTCCGGCGTCCCCCGTTCCCGCAGCCCCCTCGTCTCTCCCCGGCTTCCCCGGCGCCGCCCTCCCGCGCAGCATCCTCGGGCTGACGGAGTCGCCGGGTCCCCCAGCCCCTGTCCCGTCCCCGGTGGGCGCCTCCCGGGGCGGAGGGCGGGCCCCCGGCCGAGCCGCGCCCGCAGGGTCGCGTAGAAAACCGCGGGGGGGAGGCCTTGGGGATGACGCGTGCGAGGTGGTCGTGGGGAGACTCCCGTGTGTGACCTGAGTGGATGATAACTTAGTTGAACATTGAGGAATGGACGCCATTTCTCAGACTTGTCCGTGGTGGAAACCACAGAAGAACGAGGATTCGCTTTAAATTACATTCGCCCGTGTGTTTTCAATAAAGGTACTTGTTTTGGGTCGACTTAACATATTTTGTGAGTGTGATGGAGGTTACTTTTATTTCTTTCTCTTCCATTAACTGATTTTTACTTGTTTCGTGATGTTTATTATTGTCGGTAGCCTTGGCGTTTTATCGCCAGTTAAGTATGTAGCAGAGATCATCTTTGCCACTTAACAGGATGAGAACATCTTTTAGAGTTCTAAAAGATGGGAGATTATCCCTCATCAAATCCTGTGGGGCTCTAGTCTCTCATCTTGAGCTTTCTTTTTATCTTTTACGTTTTAGTTGCAAAACTTATAGCTAAGTATACATACGGGAAATTTTAAAGCAAATCCCTGGCATGAATACTTAAGTATATACTCTATCTCATAGTTAGGAGAGGTAAGGACCCTTTAAAAAAACCCACAAAACTCCGAACCATAATCTAATTGCCACTTACCACCAAAAATAACATTAATTTCTTGGTATCATGTAATACCCAGTCATGTTCAATTTTCCTATTGCCTTTTTTGAATTTGAAATAATTGTTAAGTTTACAGAAAAATTGCAAGAAAAATATAAAGAACTCCTGTACCGTTACCCAGATTGACCACTTGTTTATATTTTGCTGGTGTTTTATCCTTCTCTTTATACACGTGCACTTATTTTTCCCCAAACTATTTGAGAGTGGGTTCTCACATCATTCCGTTTCCCCCCTTAATACTACTCAGTACAATACGCATTTTCTAAGAAAAGTCACCTTTTATATAAACAAGTAAGTACAGTTACCAAGTTCAGAAAATTTAGCGTTGATGCAGGAAATTTAGCATTGATACATGACTTTTATCTATGCTATAGTTCATATTCCCATTATGTCACAATCATAATAATATCCTTTATAGAGCATTTTCTTTTCTGGTACAGGATCACTCAGGATATTATATTGCATTTACTTATATTGTTAATTTTAACTTAGAACAGATCTTGAGCCTTTGTTTCTCATGACATTGACGTTTTGAAGGAATAGTATATTATTTTATATCCTTGTCCTCAATATGGAATAGTTTCCACATGAATAGACAGGCTTGCATTTTTTTGGCTGGAATATTATATAAGTAATGTTATGTCTTTTTCAAGTTACCACAACCAGAGGAGTATAATGTCTGCTTCTTTATAGGTTAAGATGTTATCCCTTTTGTCCACTATCATTAGTATTTTTTCTTTTTTGCAAATTATCAAGTAATTTGTGAGGAGATAGCTCTAGAGTATGTTAATATCCTGTTCCTCATCAGAATCCCCCTCTCCCTGATTTAACATCCATTGATGGTCCTCTCTTGCATCAGTTTTTACTGTGATGGTTGCAAAATGGTGATTTCCCCCCCCCCTCATATAACTGTGGTCTCATTCTTATTTTACTTAATAGATTGTAACCCATTGCTCATTTTATTTATTTTGATGCTCAGAGTGCCCCAAATTTGGCCTGTGGGATTTGGACTTTCAATCTTGTTCGTGTTTCTTTCCTTTTTTTTTTAATTTTTTTTAAAGATTTTACTGGGGATCTGGGGAAGGGAAACAGTGTTGGGGAATTGGGGAAGGGGAACAGCCAAGTTGTGGTCCTTCAATCTTAGTTGGGGAGGGCCCAGCTAGCCCAGCTCCAAGTCCAGTCGCCATCTGGCCCCCCGTTGGCAGCTTGCGGCCGCTCAGCTCAAGGTGCCATGTTCAATCTTAGTTGCGGGTGGGTGCGGTCCACTATCCCATGCCTGAGTCTAACCCGCAACCTTGTTGTTAGGAGTACTTGCTCAGAGGCAGCTCAGCTCGGGCGTAGCTCACTGGCCCATGTGGGAATCGAACCGGCGACCCTGTTGCTCAGGGCTAATGCTCTTAACCAACTGCGCCACTCGGCCAGCCCCTTGTTCGTGTTTCTTTTTGACATGCCCTCATCGTATGTTTACTTCCTTACTTTGGGATAAGATCTTCCAGGTCCATCTAGTTCTTTCTCTACCCCAACACTGAAATCAGCCGTTTTTCCAAAGAGCCCTCATTCCTCTCACTGAGGAATGGTATTTAGAAACCAAGATTTGAGTGCTAAATTAGCGTATTGCTTCTGGGCTGTCACTGCTTCTAGTCCCTTTTAGAGGATAGAGCTAGAAATCATGAGTTTTTATACTGATACTTCCAATTCTAATGCAGCTCCTTACAGCTCTTCCTTACCTTTTTCCCATTCTGTAATTGATTCCTTTTTGTTCCACGGTGAGAATGCTGGCTTCCATCAACATCAGTGTATACATTCATTTGCTGAATCCTACAGTGCACACAAAATAGCTTCATAATTTCTATACTCACACACCTAGGAAAAACAAAACTACTAAGAAGAGTTTGAGTTTTGTTCTGTTTATCTAAGGTTGATAATATATGGTCAAAATACTCTTTAAAAGTTACTTGAATTAATCCTTTTTCTCTTCAGTGTAGTTATTCACTTGAAATGCAGTCAGGTTTATTTGCTTCTCTTTGTATTAAGTTCTTGGACCCCCCCAATTCTTGTTTTAACATAATTCCAAAAGTCAAAACTGTACAAAACTATATTAAGAAGCATCACTCCCTCCCTAGCCTTTCTACTTAGTTTGCCTTACCCTTAGTAGTTAACCTATTTTGTTAATTTTTGTTTTATTTTTCTATGTATATACAATTTTGCACTTTTTTCAATTAATATATTCTAGAAATTGCAGTTCACAGATTATTATTACAGATCTTCCTTATTCTTTTTAGCAGCTGTTGAATATCTTTCCCAACTGGTTTATTTGAATTGAGATCCAAAAACGGTTTTCATATGTGTATATTGAATTTGGTTATATGTCTCTTGTATCTATTTATCTATGCATTATTATATGTAAAATACATATATAACAGTTTTTCCCCTTCCTCCCTTTTTAAAATGCCGTTTATTTGCTAAATAAACTATATAATTGGCGCATCATTTTCATCAAATGTTCAATCTCTTCATTTACTTATAAGTATATGGATTCATGGTTTCCTATTTTATTTTGTGGATTTATTCTGTAGAATTTTTTACATTCCAAATATGGTTGATTTTATTCTCCTGGTGTTTTTAGTATGTTCCTTCAGTTTCTTTATTTCTTGTCAACTGGTGGTTAGATTCAGACACAGATTCAGGTTTTTAATTTTTTATCTTTGTAAGACTATTTCATAGATGGTTCTGTGTACTTCTATCTATGTAGCATCATATCGGAAGTCATAATGTCTGTTTGTTTCACTGTTAGCAATTTTAAGATTGATTAGTGGGTTTAGGGCATGTCAGTCCATCTCTTATGAAGTTCCCCGTGTACTTTCACCTAATAGTTTTAGCAGCCACTGATACTGTTTGACTAGATCTATTTCATTAGGAGCTGCAAATGATGCTTTTCTAATGCTATCATTATTCTTGCATTTGGTTAGCTCTTCTTAAGGAATTTCTTATTTATAATTTTTATATTTAAATTTATAAAAATAAATACTAAGGAAGTAATTATCTAGAATCTTAGGATATTCTGAGCAATTGAAAAACATAAAGTATGAGGATGACTAGCATCCTAATAGGTCATTCCGTGCTGGACTTGAATAGTCTTTTAAAGCTTGTTTTATTTTTCAAAATCAGCTATTTTCTTATTAAATATGGCATCAATCGTACCAAATAAATGCAAATTTTTTGGATTTCATAAACTAATAGAATTAGGAAGAAGGGAATTTAAAAAAAGAAGGAAGAATAAGGCTATGCTTGAATACAGCCCAGGCCCGTGACCAAATGCCATCATTGTTCATGATTTCTCAATTGTAAAAATTAAAAAAATATATTAAATTTGGGATAATCACAGACTTACAGGAAAATTGCAAATACAGTACAGATAAACTATTTTCATGAACCATTTGAGAGTGACTGACAAACATATTCCTTTACCTTTGAATATTGTAGTGTGTATTTTCTACAAACAAGGACATTTGCCTACGTAACTGCAAGACAACAATCAAAATCAGAACATTAACATTTATACATTACAACCTTCTAATTCTCAGTTTCTTTTCCTATTCAAATTTTTTGCCATTGTCCAATATTGTCCCTAATAATGAAAGGATAAAATTTACAGTTACTCATTATGTTTAGTAGTCAGGTTTTCCATTTGGAACCAGTTTCTCAGTCTTTTCCCGACTTTCATAACCTTGAAACCTTTGAAGGTTACACATCAATTGTTTTGTAGAATGTCCCTCAGTTTGGGCTTGCCTGATACTTCCTTGTGATTCATTTAATGTATCTTTAGCACATAGATCACAGAGCTGTTTTTCTTATTTACCTATTAGGTGGCACATGATTTCCATTTGTCCCATTTCTAGTAATTTTCATTTTTTATTAAGTTTATTGGGGTGATATTTGTTAGTAAAATTATGTAGGTTTCAAGTGTACATTTCTATAATACATCATCTACATATTGCATTGTGTGTTCCCCACCCAGAGTCAGCTCTCCTTCCATCACCGTATATTTAATCCGCTTTTCCTTCTTCTACCAGTCCCCCTCCCCCCTTACCCTCTGTGTCTGTGGATTAAATGGAGTCTGCCTGGCTTCTTCATTGTAAAGTTAATCTTTTCTCCTTTGTAATTACTGAGTATTTTATAGTGAGATACTTTGAAGCAATGTAAATATACCATTTTCCATCAAATGTTCAATTTATTTTTTTTTATAATTATATAGATTCATGGTTTCCTATTTTGTTTCATGGATTTTACATCCATTACTATAGTTTGTTTTGGTGCTCGTATTGTCCTCACTTTGGTCAGTGGGATAACTTTCGTTGTGGCTTCTGTGTCCTCCTCACTCAGCTTAGGCGCCAATACTCTGTGCCAGGATATCCCACAGTGTGAGCGTCCTTCTCAGATTCTCCCAAGAATGGACCATTCGCCCAAGATTTATGCTCTCACCCTGCTTGGGCTCTGACAGACTTCTTGTCCTCCACTGCAGCTGTCCTCATACCCAGCATGGGGACTTGCCAGGCATCTTCATTCATGATATCTCAGGGCTTCATTTATGTATGTATGTATGTATGTATGTATGTATGTATGTATGTATGTATTTATTTTAGCTGAGCCATCCTGCCACCTGTTGGCAGCTCAGTGGCAGCTCAGTAGCTGCTCAGTTTGGGCTGGGCATTGAACCGCTGTTGCTCGGAGCTCGCGCTCTTGAGCAAGCTCTTAACCAACTGAGCCACTTGGTCTGGGCTTCATTTTTATGTAGGCTAGTTTGGACTT